AAGAAATAACAAATTAGGATCACCAAAGAATTTTTCAGTCAGTTGATAATCTTCATTCATAAAGGAAACTAACACTTCTTGTTGTGATTTCTTTATTTTTATGTTTTTGGTTTTTTTTTCCCCCCCAAGACAGGGTCTTATTGTGTAGCTCTGGCTGTCCTGGAACTATGTAGACAGTCTGGCTTCAAATTCACACAGCTCTGCCTGCCTCTTAAATGCTGGGATTAAAGGAGAGCCCACTATTCCCAGCTATAGTTTTGTGTTTTTTTTTTTTTTTTGAAACACAGTTGTGTGGTTACACAGTTTGGTTTGACAGAAACTACTGTCTTCAGCTTCCCAAAAGCTGGGATTATGGCCTGGATGCTGGGACTACAGGTGTGCAGAGTCACAATAAGCAGGAATCAACCAATAAACTATCCCGTGAAACCAAACAGAACGAGAGGGAAAATCTGTCTCTACGGAAATATGCCTTCCTGCTAGGTGGTGGTGGCACATGCCTTTGGTCCCAGCTACTTGTGAGCGGCAGAGGCAAGCTGATCTCTGTGAGTTCGAGGCCAGAGATCGAGTTTCAGGACAGCCAAAGCTACACAGAGAAACCCTGTCTCGAAAAACCTAAAAACAAAACAAAACAAACAAACAAAGAAGTGTGATGCCTTCTGGAGGTCTCTAAGGGTGTGACTCGGTGGGAAAGCATGTGATTAGCATGGGCAATGCCTCAGGGTCAATATCAGCTACAGTTAACAGATGAACAGAACTAGAGTATCACTATTTTGCAATACTAAAATATTTATGCCCTAAGCATCAACAGTTCCAACCATCACAGAAAGGTAACAAACACGCACAGCCTCTGTATGGAACCCAACCTTTCACCTTCTCACACACACTGTAACATATTCAAGCTGAACCAAATAACTGACCAAGCATACAGAGCAGTGCTGCCCCATACAGCTTTCTATGATGGGGAAATCTCCATTCAAATTGGCCAATTCAGCAGTACTAAGGACTTTTGCTTTTAATCCTATGTGACTAAAGCTACATCTGACTAGGACTACCCTGTTATACAGTGCACCCTTATCCCTAAAATCTATTTGAAGTGAACAGAGACTGAGAAATGCCCAAGGTGACTAACTGAGCAAAATCCAGACTGTTGGGACCTCCACAAAGCAAATGACCCATTGCTCCAACAATTAACTTGCAAGTACATAAAAAAGAGGAGGGAAAAAATGTGTAAATTAAAAGCAACTAAAGGCCATGCCAAATGTCAGTCACAGTGTGTGGACATTATGTGGACCTGATTAAACAAACTGGAGGAGGAGAGTAGGCATTTACAAGCCATTTAACAATGTGAACACATAATTCAAGTGGGTGTGATTGGGCACATTTGGAACCACTTCTCATTGAAATACAGTCAGCCATTGCTTAAGGATGGATCTATTCCGAGAAAAGCCCAGTTAGGCAATTTTACCACTGCGTGGACATTACAGAGTGTATTTACACAAGCTTAGCTGGCTAAGACGTCACGCAACATTATAATCTTACAGGATCACAGTTCTATGCATGGCCCATAGTTAGGTAGAACATGACTATAGTATATCTGAATATGACTTCAAGTCTTACATAGGAAGGTGGAGGATAGAAGCTAGTAAGGACAGGCTGGGACTAAATGACAGATATCTACTATTTTGTCTTTGAAACTCTTTATAATTAAAATTGATAGGAAAAAAAGAGCACACATTTGACACATACTATCACCACCCACTAGAGACCCAAATGAAATGTGGAATACTTTTTTTTAAAACTGAGACAAGGTCTCACAATATAGCCCTGACTGACCTCGAACTGCATAAGTAGACCAGGCTGCCTTTGACACACAAAGATCATCCTGCCTCTGCCTTCAGTGCTGAGATCACAGGCATGTGCCACCAAGCCTGGCTGCCCCTCTGCAGAACTCACAAGGAAGGGGAAGGCCAAAGGAAAAGAGAAGATTAGGATGGGGTAAGAACAGATTCACCTGCTGACAGTCCCTGCTAGCACCGGGGTCCTTCCTGCCAGCCACAGTGAGTCAACTCACAAAGTTCACCCTAGATTTTTGTTTGGGGGAATACTTAAGAGATCGGGGGCACCTGCATTCCCAGGGTTTGTCTAGCCCACAGTTAGAGATCTGCAAATGAGGTCCTTGATTGGCCCAGATGTGCATTTCTCCCCACCACACCCTGGTTTTTAAATTACAGAATCCTAAATCTTAAAGAGATCACGTCATAACCTGCCCCAGAGCCCACAATGGAGGTCAGACAAGCAGGGATGCGCTCTCTCTTCCCAGTCTGATTCCAAGCCTTCTTCCCAGACACCATACCACAGCCAACACAACGAGGTAGTGGAACCCCAGGTTCCTGCTGCAAGGCAGCAGCAATAACAAAACCTTCACCTGGGGCTGTCAGCTGACTTCCTGTTGGGCAGTCTGTACTAATGCCCCCCCCTGCATTTTTTCACTTAGCTCACACAATTCTTCAAGGATTTGAGGAGTAAGATGTTCCCAGTCAAGTTTTCCCACCTCAGAAGCCTTCCAAAGCTGCTGCTCTGCCCATGTAGAAACTGACCCTTCCACCAGCTCCCATCATCTCCTAGGCTTCATTTCCAGCCCCGAGTTGCCAGCTCTGTCCCTGATCCTAACGGGTACATTTCCTGTCCTTTGCTCATTAGAACATTGATTCCTTGCCTTACTCAAGCACAGGGCTCAGCCCACATCACCCTAAGACCAGTCACCCTCATTTCTACAAGACCCCTTCCCAACTCAGCAATCACATGTTTGCTGGTGCTTCCGGTCTGGACCTCACTCTCCTCTACAGAGATGCCGCAGGTGTCTCCCCTGCCAGACCAGAGAACATCCATGGTTAGACAGCATACAACGTATTGCACCCTTTGCTCATTCTGCCTCACACTGAATTAGGCAGAGATCCTGAGTGCTTCATTTTACAGACAAGGAACCTGAAACCCAGAACAATGAAGAACTGCTTAAGTTTGCACAGTTCTGAAGAACTTACAAATGCCAGTTCTTAGATACTTAACCACACTACTGCTAGTGTTCTGGAAGGAACACACTGGAGTAGGAGTGTTTTATTTCTTGGCTGTCTTGCACACAGAAGACATAGTGTATGTTGCTGGATGTTTTGTTTTTGTTTTTTTCCTCTGGACATGGCACAGGCTCAAACCTGCCCTTTCTTTGGTCCTACAAGCCCACTGCCCAATGTGTGTCTTCAGGTTTTAAAACTAAGTCGTTAAAGCAGTACACATGGCAGTTGCAACTCAGTTACATAGTGCTTATCTAACACGGAAGGTGGGGGCGATCAGGTCTATGGGGGACAAAAAATATGCCATGCCATGAAAGGACCTCATCTTCGAATGGCTTTCTTTCTCTTTCAGGCAAAAGACTAAACCTATGTAGCCCACTTTGGTTTGAACTCCACTATGTAGACCAGACTGGCCTAGAAAGGAAGGGTAGGAACTTGACCGTCTTCAATGAATAAAAGCTCCCTAGGAACCGGAGATGGGTATGGAGCAGGTTGCTTGTTAACGGTCTGCAATAGGCCCAAGCCCCTCCCCCACCACAGAGGCAACTTATCTTGGAAACGACTAGTTTATTGACTCCCTTAATCCAAAATTCCAACACTTGTGTCTGCCCAAGGCAGAAAAGAAATCTTCCAAAATCTCATGAGACTGGCTTTCTCTCTTTACCAACAAGGGGTTGGAGGAGGGGCAAACTAACTACTGCCCCTCCCCAAACAGCCTTACAATTGTCTTTCTAGCCTGGTGATAAATATGCAAGTGGGGCACTTTGTAGAATTTCCCAAAGGACAAGAGCTATCTGCTTCAGGAAAAATTTCCCTCCCACTTAACCCCACCTGGCCCAGCAGCCTCTGGACTGCTCAGCCTAACCCTCGGCGCACTCTGTGAAGTATACCCCACCAGCTCACAGCATCCTAAATCTTTCCGGTGCTCGTGCCTCAAATCCTAATTCAGAACCAAATGCGCCTCGGCGTACCCCTGGGGAAAAGTTAAGACTGCTCTGTTTATTTCCACCTAACTCTTGGGTTCACCCTTCCCTCCCCGCATCCGCCTGGGAGCCGATACTCTGTGGCACCCTAGAATTACGGCTCACTTTATACAAGATGACACTATAGCCGTCCAGGCTAGGGCCTGGGGTTTATGCATAAAACACGCCGCCTCCCCTCCCCCTCTAGCTGGCCGCGAGTCAGCGGGGCAGGATTCCTTAATCCTGGGGGTAGCGGATACCTTTGAACAGGTGGTCATGGAAGTTCCACCCAACAAAGCGCTGATGGCCATTCAGATAAGATGCTGCCTTCTATAGCTTTTAAGGGGCACAGACATTCCAATCCACTAGGGTAGGGACGCTAAAAAAATTCTGCAGGTGAGCCCTTTTATCTTTTACGTACTAATTTAATTCTTAAAGATTTGAGAGAAAAGGCAAATCTACAGTGCCCTGCGCAACAAGCGACCCGTCTAACAGGCTCCACCGGCACTGGGAATAGCGGTGACTGCGAGGCCCACTGTGTCCCAAAAAACAAGGAGGGAAACAAAACCCTTAGGACTTCAAGGTGCCAAGGACTGCGTCCCTGAGGGCATCACGTCTAAGATCTCCTTCTCCACCCGGAGTCTCAGGCCATCTAGTTAATAGTTTGGCCTTGGACACAGGGTGGGCAGCTGAACCCGGGCAGTTGGGCTCGATCTTCAGCCAGCGTCAGACAGCCACCACCCTGGGGGATGGGTCCGCTTAAGATGCTGGCAGCCCGGGCACTGTGGCGCAGAAGACAGGTCGCGCGGAGCCTGGCTGCCGCCCAGGGGCAGGTGCAGGAGTGACGGGCCCGCGTGCGGCGCCTGAACCCCGGTGCGCGGGCGGGCGCGGCAGGGAGGGGCGCCGGGGCTCTGGAGCCGGACGCCAGGGCGTGGTGCAGGTGGCGACGGGGGCAGAGTCGACACCCTACCTTGATTTTTGACCTGGCAACCGGGCGCTGCATCGTTGCCAGGTGTTCATCAGGGCCTTCGGCATCGTGGAGCTCTGGAGTTTCAGGCTCGGGCGCGCGCGGGGACGAGCTGCTCTCGGTGCCTCCGGGCTCCCCGGCGCTGCTGCTGCTGCTGCTGCTGCTGCAACCGCTGCTACTGCCGCCGTCGCTGCGGCAGTCCTCGGGAGGGTCGGGGAGCAGACAGCCCAGGCTCACTGCTGAGAGAGGGGGCCGCACCCCGACACTCAACCACACGCGGCGTCACGCCCGGGCGCCCACGGCAGTTTGACCTGCGGGCGGTGCCGCCGCCCCGCCCCGGACCTGGGCACTTCGCCAAGTGGGCGACGTTCGGAGGGTAGACGAGTCAGTCGGGCGATCGGCCCCTCGAACTAACTTAGTGTGCCCGGAGATCGGTCCTCAGGCCACCCCGGCTCCCACGAAACACCAGGGGCCATGCGCCGCGGAGAACCCCGCGCGCCAAGTTTCCTCTCGAGCCCGTGGAGGCGGGTGTGCCCTCGCCTTGCCTCGCTCCACAGAGGTTAGCGGACCTTCACGTGAGGCTTAGAGGACGTAGAGGGCAAGGGAACCCCCGGTGCCTTCCACCCGCTTCCAGGGCCACCTCGGCCCGCGCTGCAGCCAACGGTCCCGCCGCCAGGCAATTAGCCTCTGTCTAGGGAGAAAGCACCGGGCGTTCCAGGTTTCCCAGCGTGGTCCTCGAAACCCCCTTCCTCAAGACCCCCCCCTCACGACCCCAGCCGAGAAGGGAAAGGAGTGGGACCATCAGCTCTGGTCACGAGCAGGAGGGCCGCGGTCACCCTGCCCCCACCCAGGAGCCCCGCGCCCAGGCCGGGCCCCCGCGCTCCTCACCTGGGATGTAGGTGTCTGCCCTTTTGTCATCCGGGAGCTCATCCCAGCTGCGGACCGAGACTCCCGGGCTCTTCCTCTTCACCAGAAAGACTTTGGGCATGGTGGGATCCCCTCTCCCGACTGCGGCCCCTTCCTCCCCTCTGGTCCCCGCTAGTGGCGGTGGAGGCGCCTGGATCCCCCGGCTCCCGGAGTCCGGAGCCCACCTTCCCGCCTTGCCTGCCCTTTTCCTGCTACCCCCGCTGCGCTGCCCTGACCTCTCCCCTCACTCCGGGTGACTCGCAGCCTCCGGGCTCGTCGACACCTATGCCTTAAATCGCGCGTGAGACCACGCCGGGAAAAAAGTTTCATAAGGTGGAATAGAAAAGGCACCAGGAAACTTGGGAGTGAGCATGCGCCCTGCAACATAACGGTGTCAACAAGCTCGCTACCTGTCCGACCGGTTCCGGCGGCCAGGGCTGCCTGATCCAGCCCTTCCTTAGGCATGAATGTTTGCAAAAGAATTTAACGTCTGATTCTTCCCCCCTCCTCTTTTTCAAAAAGGAAGAACACTTTTTAAAACAACCCTCTGCCTCATACCTCCATCATACGCACTTTACAGGATAAACTCTTTAAAACAAGCCCCAGGTCCACTGCCCCGGGCACCCCTCCTACGAGTTGGGGTTTCCCAGGAGTTGGCCCCCACCTCTAAAATGGATTTGTCTCAGTCAAGCAAGTCAGAAATGGCTCTGGACCTTTTGGAAATGTTTCCAGGCTTTTCTGGAATCTTGGTGGTCGGATATGGGAGGGTCCTCAGGACGCTCGTCAGGTAACGGGAGGAGGGTTGAAAGTTTAAGTTTCCTATCATCTGAAACACCCCTCAATAATCTAAAAATATTGCATCTTTGGAGCACGTCCCTTTACTGATATGTGCCACTCAATCTAAGGAAATAAAGGCTTGTTCTACCAAAGCAGCTTTCACCCCAAAACCTTGCACCTCAGGAGTCCCTTCACCCAAGATAAACGCACAATCAAGACAAAAGCCAAGTACATGTCCTGAGAACGCTTATTTAAAGCGAGTCACTAGTCCTCAGCCTGTCCCATTATTGCCTACCGTAACCACTGGATCCTCAAATTCGGAGGCAGTAAAGGACCCATCCAGGAAGTCATGGATTGAAAATTGATACACCCTCCCCCCGCTCCGCCGGCGAAGACGACCGGAAAGCTTTGAGTTTTTTGTTTTTATTTTTTATTTTTCCTATTTACCTTCCTTCCTGGAGGGAAGTGTGTGTATGGGGGAAGGCGGTCTGGTAAAAAGTTTATAGGGGTGACCTGCTCACTTTGGGGGCCCCCGATACCTCTATACCAAGGCCCTGTTGCACTGCGCCCAGAGCAACCCACACTGTAGGCGCCGGGCTCCAGGGGGTGAACAAGTGCCAGCTGCTAAAGGCTGCCGGGGCGCGTCTGGTCAGGGGTGCTCAGGCGTCTGCGGTTAACCGACCCACCAGCCTCACCTGCCCATAACACGGCCCGATGCGCTCCCGGCCCACATGGCCCGGGGAATCAATACAGAGGTTGTCCCAGTCTTCTTCCGCCTTTGGAATGGCCTTTAGGGATACAGCAGCCTGGTAACGGATTTCTGGAGTTGGCTGGCGTATTCTCAGGGAGCACAGAGAGGGGGCGCAACTCAGGCGAGGCTGTGTAGTGGGGATAAGGCGTCCGCACCATGACTATCGATCTGCCTTCGAGGATTGACCCCATCTGGGATCACCTCTGAATTCTGGTTTCCTCCGAGAAAACTCGTCTAAGAATAAGACGGACTTTGATCCTGGTGAACTAGAGGAGGGAGACGAGTCTGTAACGGCAGAAGAAAATGAGGCTTGTTGGCTAAGGGAGTTGATGGCGCAGCTTCTGGGCAACTCTGCAGATGTATTTTTATCTGCCAACAAACTGGAGACTTGCTAGAAAGAAGGAGCGTGGTGAATGAAAGAGTAAAAATAAAACCACGAAGCCACAGAATTATCCTCCATCTTTAAGAACCTTCAAAACTCCATTCAAAATCCCTTATCTTTATTCAAGAACCAGTCAATTCTATTGATAAAGCTAGCTTTTCTGCCTTCCTTCCTTCCTCCCTCCCTCTTCCGGATTTCAAATCACTGAACCCCGGGGCCGTTATTTTTGTTATTTAAAAAGGCCGCATAGACTTGTGGTCTATATATTTAGAAACCTTAAAAGGTTCTGCAAACCTGGAGGCACTACGAATAAAGAATAAGATACTTGCTTTTATTCTACGATTTGGGGGGTATAAATCTATGATATTTACTAGATGTTTCTTTTTTGAGCAGTTTTTTGTTTGTTTTGTTTTTTCAGAACTGGGTATTGAACTCAAGGCCCCAGGCATGTGCTCTGCCACCGAACTATTTTCCCAGCACCTAGATGTTTCTTTTTTAATTGAAAATAATTAACAGAGTGAGTTCCAGGACAGCCAGGACTGTTTCACAGAGAAATCTATTTCAGAAAACCAAAAAAAAAAAAAAAGAATTATTTTTCATATATTCTGAAAACGGTTCCCCTCCCCCAACTTGTCAGATCCTTTCTAAAAAGTGTTTTAAGGGAAAGGAATGCTAATGCGTTTTTATTCTCTTATTTTTAAAACTCGGTCTTGATATGTGTTTAGCAATGTCATTAACATACAAAGGACCAGCCTCTGCCTTTAATGCAGCATCAAAAGCAATATACAGACAAACCCAATTTAAAAAACAAGACAAAACTTCAGGCTTGAAGAAGCAAGAAATGAGAAACAGGATATGGTTCACACCTGGTTAAATGCTGTGGATAAAAGTCTCGTATGGGATTCTTAGAATGGATACCCAGATCAGTAGAATGCTTCCAGTAATAGGATGCTCACTATCTCTAACAACTGTGTAGCCTGTGGTTAAACATATTTCCTTCAGCTTGTGTTTTCATCTCAACTCTCCTTCTGTCCTGGAGTTGACACACTTTTCTCGAGTCCCCTCCCCTGCCTTCTCTTCCCACAGTTCAAGTTCAGGTCAGCAGATTTATATATTCTTAGTTAAGGCTTCTTTTCTCCAGAAACTACTGTCAGGTTGGAAAGAGACAGACAGGTACAGACCTGCTCAGTGGTACTATAGAACACGTGGCCATAGGAAATAGGATGCTGCTTGAGGAATATTCCAGTTTTTAACAGACAAGTCAGAAGTATGCTCTCTCTCTCTCTCTCTCTCTCTCTCTCTCTCTCTCTCTCTCTCTCTCTCTCTCTCTCTCTCTCTCTCTCTGTGTGTGTGTGTGTGTGTTGTAACCAAATTCACCTGCACAAACAACACCAGAAAACAGAGGCTAAAGGGGGTCTCACTCCTCCGTTCAGTATTTTGTCAGTTTTCCTACCGGTGTATTCAATAGAAAAGAAGTAAAGCTGGGAGTGGCAGAGCATCCTTTAACACCTTTAATCACAGCACTTTGGAGGAAGAGGCAGACAGATCTCTGAGTTCAAGGCCAGCCTAGTCTACAAAGTGAGTTCCAGGTCAGCCAAGGAACACTGAATAACAACAACAACAAAAGTCAAGGGCCAGGCAGGGCATTGGTGGTGCACGCCTTTAATCCCAGCACTCAGGAGGCAGAGACAGGCAGAACTCAGTGAGTTTGAGGCCAGCCTGGTCTACAAGGTGAGTGCCAGGACAGGCTCCAAAGTTACACAGAGAAACCCTGTCTCAAAAAAATAAAACAAAACAAAACCCAAACAACAACAAAAAGCCCAAAAGTCAAGGTAGAAGGATTTTGATGGAAAAAGATACAACTACCGTTTATTATTGTCAGTTTGGATATCTATGTGAAAAGCCCAGGAGATCTGTGAGTAGATTATTAAATTAATATAATTTAGCAAGTTAGGTCATTGTATAGAAGATGTGAGTGCATGCCATGACTACATTTCTTTTTTTAAAAATAATTATTTATTTTTATCTTATGTTATACTAGTGTTTTACTTCATATATGTCTGTGTGAGGGTGTCATATCCCCTGCAAGTGGAGTTACAGATAGCCATGAGGGTGCTGGGAATTGAACCCAGGTTCCCAGGAAGAGCAGCCAGTGCTTTTAACTGCTTAGCCATCTCGCCAGCCCCATGACTGCATTGCTAAATGCTGGCGGCAGTCAGGAAAATAAATCCATGAAGAGGAATGGCTCACAGTAGCATCAACAACATGAAGATCCTGGAAATAAGACCTTTTTATATGTGCAGGTTTATTTGGGAGAAACTGAAAGACATTAAACAAGATGCTAATCAGTGAACACACCATGTGACAGACTGGGAGACTCCAAACCAGGAAGAAAGCTCAAGTCCATCTGTAGATTTCCTAAATTTTCATTTACTTTCTCATTTTGGAGTACTGGAATGCATCCCCAGTGCTCGCCCATGCCATGCAAATGTCCTGATATTGAACTACAGCCTGGCCCTCATATATAGATTTAATACAATCCTTTAGTGTACTTGGAACAAAAGGCTTTTTCTGGTCTGTGAGAAACTTGTTCCAAAGTTCTGTGGGAGCCAGGAGTGGTAGTGGTGCACACTTGCAATCCCACCACTTAGGAAGCAGTGGTGAGAGGAGGGCTCCAAGGTTTATGATAGCCTGGGCTACTAGTAATGAGTTTTTCAGATCAGCCAGGGTTGCATAGAGACTCTGGAAGTGTGTGTGTGTGTGTGTGTGTGTGTGTGTGTGTGTGTGTGTGTGTGTATAAGAAGAGTCAGTGTCCCTGAAGGACTATTGTATGGACTCAGTGTAAGTGAAGTTTTTTGTCTGCACAGACAGCTCCCAAATAACCACACAGAGATTTCTTGTTAATTATGAAAGTTCGGCCAATAGCTTAGGCTTGTTCTTAGCTAGCTCCTATAACTTAAATTAACCCATTTCTATTCATCTATGTGCTACCTCTAAGCTCATTTACCTCATCTATGTACTTTTCATGCTGCTGCTTCTACATCTGGCTGGTGACTCCCCAGACTCTGCTCTTCTTCTTCCCAGCATTCTCTCTGCCCAGAAAAATCCTGCCTAGTTACTGGCCATTTTGCTTTTTTTTTTTTTTATTAAACCAATCACAGAGACATATACTCACACAGTGTAAAGGAATATTCCACAACCCAATGGATCAGATGCCAATAGAACTGTAAAAGGAGTGGCATAAATTCTCCCCAGCTCTCAGCCTGGGTTCTGTAACATGTATAAAGCTCCCAGTAGGGCCGGGTGTTGGTGGCACATGCTTTTAACCCCAGCACTTGGGAGGCAGAGACAGGAGGATCTCTGTGAGTTCCAGGACAGCTCTGGTCTACAGAGCGAGTTCAAGGACAGCCTCCAAAACAATACAGAGAAACCTTGTCTTGGAAAACCAAAATAAATATAAATAAATGAATAAATAAATAAAGCTCCCAGTAGGGACCAGCAGGGCCTTTCCCACTTGAGCCAATAGTTCCAAGGGAAACCTTGCTGCTGTCTTCTCAGTGTGAAAATATAGTGTAAGTTTCCTGAGAAGGTCTCGGTGTCTGATCCTCTGGGGCATGCCATGGTAAGGGAAAGGCAGGTGAGTTTTCTCTCTTGCTCTAGGGCATGCCTTCCCTGTAGTCTTTCTCAATGGTAAACTGCTTTTTCCAGCTCCAAGCCTGTGTGGTTCTAGACCTCCTGTGAGAGGTGGACATCTCACCCAGCTAATTAGAGCCTCTGTCAACTTGGCCATAGTCTCATAGTTCAGTGTCAGACATGAGACCCAAACAGAATCAGCTCTGAAGATGAGCAAGAGATGAAAGCCCTGTCCTCTACGGTGTGGAGAGTGATCAAGCCTGGGGTAGGCAGCCTCCTGGGAAGCATGCCAACGAAGGAAGGTAAGGCTGGAAGCAAGGCCTTTTCCACTAGAGCTGTGAAAGCGCCATGAACCTTAGAAGACAATGGCTG